CCCAACTGCATGTGTGTTTAACCTCCACCAGACGGGGAGCCACAACGGTAGCCAAACTAACCAACCAGGTCATCTCAGGCTTGTGAAGAGTCTCTTAGGGTCATCTTAGGCATGTGCACAGAGGGTCTCTTACAGCTCACACCTACACAAGATCTTTTCCTAAAAGCTGCATTTTTAGCTTGTTTGTAGCCTGTTTATCTAGAACTTCATTGCAAAGCTCACACAGGTTCCTGCTTTCCCAAAGTAAGTGCTATAATGATCTGTGTGTCACCAAAATCTACACAGGGAAGACAAAGTCAAAAAACTGGGAGTTGCCAAATCTTTAGCTTTTAGCTTTAAGAGTATAAAATTGTTCTAACTTTCATCTCACCAGCTCAGAAAGAGGCCACAGGAAGTGAGAGGTCAGCCACAGGTTACCAATGGAGGCGGGGGCTAGGTAAAAGATTGTCCACACTTTGAACACAAATTAAACAGTAACAGTGAAGAACTTGGGGACAGAATAACTGCTGATTAACAGCAAACCGCCAAAGTTAAAGTCAATGATAAATGGCTCCACATTCAATGCTTTCCTGTTTGGTTTGATTTGATTTTTCGAGACAGGGTCTCCCTGTGTACCCTTGGCTGTCCTGCACTCTTTGTAGACCAAGCTGGCCTTGAACTCAGAGATCCACCTGCCTCTGCCTCCCAGAGTGCTGGGATCGCAAGCGTGCACCACCACACCAGGCTTCAATGCTTTGGTTTTAATGGCCTCTTTTAAAAATTTTTTTGGAAGTCCAGGCTCATTGGTGCAAGTCTGTAATCCCAGTACTCAGGGAAGCAGAGGCAGGCAGATCGCTGTGAGTTCGAGGCCAACCTGGTCTACAAAGCAGGACAGCCAGGACTTCACAGAGAAACCCTGTCTCGAAAAAAACAACAACAAAATGAGGCATTCAGATACCCATATATACCACCACCACATAAAATTACTTTTTAACTTTCAATTTCTTTACATTTTTTTCAGGTTTTGTTATTGTTTAAGACAGGGCCTCTATGTAGCACTGGCTGTCTTTGCCTCCCAATTATTGGGATTACACGTATAAAAAGGGGGAGGGGTAAATGCTGAAAACACAAAGTATTCAAAAAGGCAAGGTGACAGCAGATGTGCTGACCCGCCCTCCCGCCCTTCCTGGTTTAGGACTACTTGAAGAACCAACCCCAACAGCGCTGCGTCCTCCACAGACACGCGGGCCTGGCCCAGACAGGGCGCACAAATAGTTAAGGGTCTGAACTTATTCCAGAAAGTTTCTGAAGCAGCCATCGGCCTTTCTGTAAACTCACTGCACACCTTTAGACCCTACGTCACTTAAGGCCCACTTAAGGCCGTTTAGAAGGTGGGCTCCCGCCTTGTTCCCAGACATCACAACACAGCAAGCAGAGTGCCTAGAGCCCACTGGATCAGGGTCAGTTTCCTGCAGTCTCAACACGCCCTGACCCTGAGAGCACAGGCTTTCCTTTGCTTGGTTGTCAGCTCCGGGCCTCCCCAGCCCCCAGCTCTTTTGTATGTAAACACACCCTTGTCGCACACTGCCATCAGCTGTTCCGAGGCCCCACCCTCCTCCCTTTCCGGGTAGTAACAGAGCAGCCAATGAGCTCCCGGGGCCTGCCTTCGGCCTTTCCCCTGCAAACGCTTTTCCAAAACAAGCAGCTCCAGCCTTCAGCAGGGGCACTGGTTCACAGATGAAAGGCTCGCCAGGCCGTGCAACAGGGCGGGACAGCCACCCCCACCATCGAGGAAGCCGCCTAAGCCGAGCTGTGTGCTCCTCCACCAGGGACAACTTCAACCAATATTCCTCCAGGGCAAATCCCGCTTAAGGTCACCAGAGTCCCAGCTCTCAGACAGCCAAACAATCAGCGTTGCCGGAACCCTCCCAGGCTGGTGTGCACCTGACTCTGGCGAGCAAATGGCCGTTCCAGGGGACCCAGGCTACCGACAAGGACATGTAAATCAGTCTCTAGGCTCCGGTGGAGGTTTGCACAACCCTCAGCTGAGGATCAGACAGGAGACAATGAATGAGTCAGAGTTTCAGAGCACAATCGCCCAGCAGATGAAGTGCACTGGTGCAAAACACTCACTCCCGGCCTAACTCGGGAGTCAGGCACCCTCCCTCCCGGCAGCTGGTCACAAAGAAACGCCACTGCCTCAGAAGGAAGGAGAGAAAGGCCGGCAGAGCCCCTGCCTCCCTACCACACAGGTTCCCTGCCAGGCTGCAAAGCCTCGTGGTGTGATTCCACCCAGAAGACAGCCAAAAATGGGCTGAAACAGGAGACCTCGGCCTCCACACTGAAGAAACGACCAAGGGCCGAGGAGGCCGAAAGGCAGCGACATTCCTTCAGACCCTTTCCCTCCACTTCCCTACCACCATCTTCCTTTCCGGCCGTCAGCTGACAGGCCTGTCCCCACCTCAGCAGGAGGCCGGGAAGCTGCTCTCCACCACCTCACTAAGGGTACCTTACCCCCAAACTGGAAACTCCACTTGGGCCTACTGATATGAATTCAACTGAGAGAGGAGGCTAAAAAATATAAAACCTCTCCACAATACATACACACACACACACACACACACACAAGGAAATCCAAAAACACTGTAACTTCCAAACTCCATTAAACCAGAAAACACTTGAAGCAGAGAAAACCGCTGGCTTTTCAAATCAAAACTGTTCGCCTCTTATCTCAGAGATCTACAACTGGAAAGAGCCCTGTTTTCTTTTGTCAGCAAGAGGGAAGGTGGGGAGAGAACAGAAGCCAGCACATCTTTGCCTTTCTTCATCCTCTCCTAAAAATAAGCTATGAAATGAGCCACTTGGGGAGAGGGGAAAGAGACACCCTGCTGTTCTTTGTTTCCCTCTCCTTCACCACCCCCCACACCAGCCACCCCCTACACCCAGACTCCTAAACGCGGTAATCATTCTGGATGCCACAACTACTGCGTGAACAAAAGGCACTGTATGGAAAAGGCAGGTCAGGTTAGGCCTCGGTCTTCAGCCTCAATCTTTTCGAACCTACGTAGGAACATAATTTGAGGCTCTGACATCGATCAAAAACAGCTGGAATGCTCCTCCCCACTCCATCCCAATCATACATTAGGCTGAAATTCGAATTAGGTGTCACAGCTAACTCTCAAGACAAAAATAACTCCTAAGTCTACCGCCATGTCATTTCCTGGTTTCTAAACAAACATAAACCCCCAAACTGCTTTGTGTAAAATTTACACACAGCCATAGTTTCAAGTTTTCCTGTGGTATGAAAAACCAACATTCCTGGTATCATTCACACATTTACAAAACAATCACAGCCACAAACAGTTTATAAAGAGTTGATTTCACATGTGCCTAGGTGTGTGCACCTGGCTTATTACCCTTTATTACTTGGCTGCTCTCCGGTCCCTCCTACTGCTTCTCCCCCACCCACAAATTCTAGACTCCAAACCCTAAACTTCCCAGTTTATCCAATATTCTTAATTTCTAGCCAGATCTCCCCTGGGCAAGGAGAAAAACACATTCTTATTCCTGAAAAGATGGATGGGGGGGGGGGGGTTAAACCACACACACAACAAAAAACTTCTTGCCTAGGCAACTTCCCTCCCATCCCCACAAATTAAAATCCTATGCAAAAGCTACCTTTTAAAAACTTCAGCGAATCTCATCACTGAGTTTTTGACAACCACCGATTTCTAGAAAAGGTAAAACAGTAAAAAATACAACAAATAAAAGAGGAATTCACCTGAAGAATCTAGCCAAACAACTTGAGTTATATAAACAAAATCCTGCAACAGGGAGAAATGGTGGGGGATGGGGGCTTGGCAGAAAGAGAAACAGGAGACAGGACTTTTTAACAAACCTTTCACACACAACGCCCCCCATATTTCACTCTCTCCGTGGGAATTAGCCATTTGGAACACTGCGCTCTCCCCCGCCCCAGATTAGGCCTCAAAAAAATCACATTTTTCAAATATTCGATTTGTCTCAGGAACCTTCGCGAATTTCTCTGCTGGTCATGAAATAATCAGTCTGGATTCCAACCAAAACCACTGCCTGGAAGACTCTTATCAGTTACAGCTCTCCCACTGCGACCTCGGGTGTACATAAAGTTGGGGGAAGGGTAGGAAATAAAAGGTATCCCTTGGCCCACCAGGGCAAGCAGTCCCCAAGAATGGTACTCTCACAGAGGGAGCTTCGCTCAAGCGGCTATTTTGTTCAGGGGCTCCTTCCTCTCCTTCCTCCCAGCTGTCAGACCCACAATATGGAGGGTGTCCTGCCTGTTAGGAGGGCCCGGGGTCCCCACTGCACGCCCTAGCCTGAGTAGGACAGGCTTTGTGAGCAGAAAGAAAAACAGCAAGGTTCTCCGGCCAGAAGGCTTAACAGGAGTGTCTGATTTAAAACACACGGAGCTCTTTATTACAAGAGGGGCCCCGGGCAGACTCCTCTCTTCCTAATATAGAAAGGAATTAGGGATAAAGAAGGTCGCTTGAGTTACCCCAGTTTAAGCAGCACTACGAGGGGAAGGAAGCAGGACACTTCAACAATAAAGAGAGAGGGAGAGGGAGGGAGAGGTGAGGGGAGAGAGAAAGAGAGGCTTCCCTCTCAGGAATCTGTTCCAGGAGTCCATAAATCCAAAGCTAGCAAACAGGAAGCAAGGACCCTGACGACGAGGTCGGGGTGACGGAGAGGCAGCTAGTTATAACACCCCCCCAAGAAAGGGCCGTCTTAGGGATCCAAACGTCGGGAGCTGAAGCCGAAGCCGGGGGCTCCGGGGGTGCAGGGAGGGCGAGGAGCAACGCACATCGCGGGGGACTGCAGATAAAGGGGGCCGGAGGAAGTGCCCGGCTCCGGGGAGGTGCCAAGGGGCCGCCGTAGGCACCGGGGGAGGGAGGGGAAGCGCGGCCAGTGGCCTGGAGCCCGGAGCCCTCGCCGGCACCCCCACCGCCCCACACGCAGCCCGAGTCCCCCTCCGAGAAGGATACAGCTTGACCACGTCCGTGTCCATCCGCCTCTTGCCGGGGCTGGGGGATGACATGGTGTCGCCGCCGCCGCCGCCGCCGCCTCCCCGTCGCCTGCGCCGCCGCCGCCTCTCTCCCCGCCTCGGCCCGTCTGTCACGGGCCCCGGGCCCGGCTCGCAGGGCCCCGCGGCCGCGCCGGCTCCTCGGCCGAGGTCCCGCGGGGTCCGCTCAGCCGCCGCCGCCCCCCGCACGGGGGAGCACCGGGCACTGCCCCGCCGAGTGGGGGCGGGGACCGCGGCGCCCGCTCGGGCGGCCCTCCCTCCGCGGAGGCTCCGCCGCGGCCCGGGCTGGCGCTGCTGCGCGCCGTGCGCCGCTCCCTCCCGCCTGCGCTCGCTCGGCCGCCCGCTCACGCTCTCGCCGGCTCCCGGCTCCCGGCTGCTGCCTCCACAAGCGGACGACTCCGGCTCCGCCGGCCTCTCTAGCCCAGCCTCGCTCTAGGCGCCGTGATGTCACCTCTGTGACGTCATCGCAGGGGCGGGGCGCCGGCGTCGCTGCGTCCGCTCTTTGGGGGAGTTCTGGGAGATGTAGTTCCTCCCTCTCCTGCCCGCCTGCGTCCCTCCGCCCCCTCCCCCAGCCTCCCCACACGCTTCATCGCTCAACTGCCAGCGTTGTTACCATCAGCATGAATGATGGCAGTAAATAATGGTAGTAAATAATGATTACACTCGTGTGCTGTCTGAACCTCCCTCTCACACAGTGCTACAAAGACTGTCTGGATATGAAGGAGGCCAAAGTGGCAATTATTCAGCCTGGCGTCCGTATCTGGAAATTCCCCCACCGGCGGCGTGTTCTCTGCACTCTGCTCCCTCTTCAGATGGAAGGAGTTTGTTTCCAGGGACTATAGACTACAGCAAGGCTTCCTCGGGGCTTGCAAACAAGAGTTCGTTTACACAAGCACGGCCAGTAATTCCAGGATTGCAGAAGCAGCAACAAAGAACAGACATAATTTGATACTAACATCCTCATTCTACAGAAATTGAGGTAAGTTGAGGTAATTTTAAACTCACAAACTTCGTGACTGAGAGAAATGCCCTAAGTAAGCTATAGCTCAGGACACAGGTGGTTCTGCCCTCCAACTCCTGAATCAACCGTGTGTACCTGCTCATTCATTTAATAAACACCAAGCGCCACTGTGTTCTTATGACTGAGTTCATGGGGATATAGTGGGGAGGAAGAGAACATTTACACAGCCCTCCCAGAATGGACCTGAGTGTCAGCATCGTTTGGGAACTAGTTAGAAATGCCAATAGAGGGCTGGAGAGACTGTCTGCTCTTCTAGAGGTCCTGAGTTCAATTCCCAGCAACCACATGGTGGCTCACAACTATTGGTTCCCTTTTCTGACATGCAAGTGAATATGCAGGCAGAACACTGTATACATAATAAATCTTTAAAAATAAAAAAAGAAATGCCCCTAGAAGGGCCTTATGAAATCAACATATGCAGTTGACCAGTAGGGCAAGGTGGTGCAGACCTGAAGTCCCTTTACAAACATCACACACACACACACACACACACACGCTCACACACCCCTGAAACAGGAGCAATGGGCTAAAGTTGAAGATCATTTGCTTCTATCATTCTACCCTTCAATATGCCAGCTATTTTTTAAATTATTACATACATAAAATGTATAATCTTCACTATATTTAAATATTTGATGCAACAGCCCAAAAAAACATTAAATATTGTGCAACCATGACTAATGTTCATTTCCAGAACCTTTTCATCAATCACAACAGAAACTAGATGTCCCTTAAGTAATAGCTCTTCATCCCCATTCCTTCCAGAACTTGGTAACTTCCATTCTGTTTTGGGGAGAAAAAGAACAATTCCTTGCTTTCTCCTAGGACAAATCTGTCAGCAGACTGTGCAAAGGGATTTCTAACCACCTTTATTTGATCACTTTATTGAAGGAAGTAAAAAAGAAACCAAGATTTGTTTTCCTCACTGTCGGCACCAGCCTCCCCAGGGCGTTACTGTCGCTGCCAGCTCTCTGAGAATGTTCCCCACCCTCCTCTGCCTGAGTAACTTCCAGCCCTGTGCTAAGACAGTAGTTTTAAGGCTTGGCGCAATATTCAGAATCACCTGGGAGCTTGTTAAGCTCACACATGTCCAGGAACTGCCACTGGGAATTCTGATTCAGAATGTCTTTGGTGAGGCCTGAATTTCCTTGTCTTTAACAAGCAGTCCAGGTGGTTCTGATACTAGGCAAAGTCGGAGAACCTCTGCCCTCAAGATTCCAATAGTGATCTCAGCTCAGGACCCCTCCCTGGCCATCGTTGCCTTTAAGTGCATTTATACAGCCCTAAGAGGCAGAAGGTGTGTGCTTGCTTCTCCATACACAGTGGCACGGGGAGAACCATGGCTGCTGTTTCTAAAACCACAGCCACAGAATGGAGAGCAAAGCAGGACTCAAGGAAGAAAGGCCTGGAGGGGAGCCTAGAAAATCTACCTGGTGTTTTCCTATTCACTGATACAACTGCTGTGTTCAAAAAACTTGGCAAAACAACCAGAGCAGTGTTTCTTAAGGGAACTTGCTGGCCACGCTGACGGAGGGTCAGCTCTGTACGCAGTCTTCGCAGAGTAGACATCCTGAAGGGGAGTTGTGATGTCGTTAGGAGGTGTTTCGTTTTCTTTCTCTTTTTTAAGATCGTTTTGCCTCTCTTTAATGTGTATGACTGTCAGCTTGCATGAACACATGTGCAGCCTGTGTCCTTGGAGGACAGAACACAGAATCAGATTCCCTGGAACTGAGCAGGTCACAAGCAGCTGCCAGCCGCTGTGTGGGTGCTGGGAACCAAACATAGATCCTGGACAAGAGCTGCACCTGATCTTAACTGTGGAGCCATCTCCCGAGCCCTCAGAAGTACTTTAACTCTTGTTCACTTGGGGCAAATCTACCTCTTCCTGCTCTTAATTATGCCTCAGTAACTCGCTTCTATCCTCCCTGAGCCTCAGATTTCCTCATCAGATTTCCAGTGTCTGCTTGATTTCCTACCCTGCTTGAGTAGGTTGGTAGAGTTGAGTGGAAGGATCCACGGGAAAGCCGTAGAAGGCGTGGCCTGGTTTCCAAAGAGGGAGTGGGCATGACAGGTGTCCTGAGGGCCGAGGCGGCTCCTGTAACAGCACTGCGCTCTTCTGCACTTCGCAGCCTGCTTTTCCCCACCACTCAGACTGCTTATCTGAAGAGGTCATTCATTTTGGGGAAACTGGCTTTGTTTACTTGCTTTTGAGGATGCTGCAACATCCATCGTCTCTGTGGCAAAGGTTTGCACACATTTCTGTGGGTATTTTGCAGTTTGTTCTTTCCTGAATGCACCTCCCTTTGTCTGACCTTCTTCCTATGTCCAGAGCATCAAGGAACACCTGAGCCTACCCTTGGCTGAGTAAGTTCAAAAACCTTCCCATGGTTTAGCTAAAGAAACTGAAGTTACGATTGAATCTGTTGGTTTGCTGTCGACTTTTCCCCGCGTTTCAGCTGCTGAGAATGTCAGTAATTTACCCCGAGACAGCAGCAGGCTCAGGAGTGTCCTGGAATGAGCGATGTGCTTCCTTATCAGGTGCGGCCCAGGGGCGCCTGGGAGGCAGCAGATGTCCCTCCCTTGCCTGGCTCGCCAGTGTTGCAATCTGAGAAATGGATTCTGGGCCTGTTTATCTCCACCAGGGCAGGGCCAAGCTTGACCGTGGAGCCTCCCCTCTCAGAAGCAGCTTCTCCAAGTCAACAAAATAAGCCAGGAGAGAATACAGTGCTCCCAGCAAGATGCTGACATGCTACCAGTTATCTGGCAGAGTGAGTGCAAGGGGCCAACAGGTTCTGAAGTGACCTGTTAGAACTGCCACCTGTTTCCATGTTCCTCAGAAAAAGCAGTTCATCTTGAGTTGGCGCCCTCTGACACAGGCCACAGGTCGGGAGCCCTGCCGGAGGTCCTCAGAGCCCAGTCTCTATACATCTGTGCCCTGGGGACCCGGCTCTGAGGGAAGAACACTTGCCACATGAGCATGAGGACCTGGGTTCAGGCCCCCACTAGCACACTGAGCCTGAAATCCCAAGTGCTCTTCCAATGAAACGGGAGGCCGAAAGCAGGAGACTCCGCAGAAGCTCAGGGGCTAGGTAGCCTGCCATTCCCAGAGGCAAGTAAATGACGGTGGCCACCACTCAGTGGGAGGCAGGGCTGGTTCCACGGTTGTTGTCCGACCTCCACAAATGTGCCTGACCTGACACACATGAATGTTCACTCACACACACACACACACACACACAGAACAACAAAATTAAAAAAACAAAGCCTAAGGCTCACATCAAGTCATGTCCGCATAGCCTGGTCTTAGTGTCCTTAGGAGCAGTGCGTGCTGAGGAGGCTGCAGCCTCCAGCCTGCCTGCCACAGAGATGAGGACACTTGGCACTTGGCCTCTATGTTTCTATGTTTTCCCATGTGAAGGCAGGAGGGCAGCTTCCCCTGGCCAGGTGTGACACGTTATGTCTACACATACTCCCCAAGCACCAAACTCCAGAGAAAACAGCCTGGGCGGTGCTCACCCCTGCAGCTAGGAGCTGTCACCTGGGCCCGGGCGTCCTGGCAAGAGCCCTTGTTTCCAGGGGTGGCCCCCTGACCCCCTTTTCCACATGACCTCTCCCTGTTCTGGAGATGTGGGTGCCTCAGACCTCAGCTCTGCCTCTGCCCAGTCCCCGAGTGACCTCATCCAGCCTCAGGGCTTTATCTGCTATCCCTGCTGACTCCTGAGACACAGGCGCTCACCCTTCAACTCCAGGCATCTCCTCAGCACCCAGAATGCATTTCAGGTGTCACGCCCCCTTTACCTTCACAGGGTTCTTCACCTTGGTAAATGCCAACTATTTAGTTTTTGGAATACATCTTTAAGGTTAAGAACTATTGTTTAACTTAATGTATCCAAAGACCAGGACCTTTGTTTAAGATCTTTGTCTAAATCCTCTATCATCAGGAAATCTGTTGCCTCCACCATTCAAATATATCCAGAATCTTTATATTTATCTAACTACTCTATCAAAGCATAATTACCTCATCTGGGTGTTTGCTTGCTCTGGCTCTCTCTTTCTCCTTCCCCCTTCCCCCCCTTCCTCTCTCCTCTTTCCCCCAAAGGTCAACTTTGAATGTGTCTCTGCCTTGGTTTGTTGTTGTTCTGTTTCTTTGAGGCAGGGTGTCTCTCTGGCCTGGAACTTGCCGTACAGGGTAGGCCGGCCACTGAGCCTGATGCCTCTGCCTCCACAGCTGCCCCGTGCTGGGGTCATACATGCCACCACCGCTGTTTCATGTGGATTCTGTAGAGTAAACTCAGGTCCTCATGCCTGTACGGCAAGCCAGCTCTTCAACCACTGAGCCATCTCCCTGGTTCCTTGTTTGTTTGTGAGACAAGCTCTCTAGTCTTCCCAAGCTGCTGCATCCCGAGGC